AGGTATCGATTTTCTTAAAATGTAATATTTTATTATTACTTTTAATATGTATCATTTGTATTTTTAGTTAGTTGTCGTGGCAATAATTAAATTATATTATGTTTGACCGATGAGCTCACGGCATACCAATCAAATGGTTACTGGAGCTCATAGACGTCAATCACGAGATCGAAATCTTAAAATGTATAACGGAAATTAACTGTTGATTGAGTTTCAAAAATGCCCGCGACAACATTTATTATCTATGACTTCGCTCGGCTTAAAAAGAAAAAAATACAAAATAAAAAACAAACAAACAAAAAAGGAAAAAAAAAACATAATTACTTCCATGAATATAAACGGTTTCGTGATGATAAAGGCCTAGGCTCTACGGCGCCTTACGTCATGTATTTATCATCTTCACATCCTTGAGGTGATGCCATGATGATCTCAGACAGATTATATTTAATTCTTCTGTGCTTGATCACGAATATCAAGAGTCGCATAAAAAGTCGCATATAAGTCTAAAACGATACTAAATGGTTAGATAAGCAATTGTCGATTAAGCGGCGTCAGAAGTTAACCTATGTTTCTACTTATTTAGTATTCATGCTTTTTTTTTCTACCTAAGCTGATAGCCTTGAGAGGCTATTTCAGCGTAACCTTAATTAGTAGGTGAGCTCACGGGGATCAAACCGGAGTGATGCCAACTAGCATGACTGACCCTACCTAGCAAGAGCAGTGCTTCGCAGAATCCCTCACCGGATCGGAAACGCGACCCACTGAGAAGATTCGGTGAGAAACTCAGTGGGCTGTGTCTATGGGCTAAAGCGCTCGTCGAGCCCTTCGTCGCAAGCTACGGGTTCGATGAGGACGGTGACCGGTGCTTGTGGTACCTAAAAGCACAGCTAATGGATCGGGAGGATTCGTAATGACGTGTTTTGGGCGACGTCAACTGTTTATCATTCGGTCTACAGGATCGGGTATGTAGTTTCCAGCAGCTGCGACAAGAGGGTTCTCATGTCGTGCCGCCTTCTCAAAGTGGCGCAATGATGCCGATTGTAGATTCTGACTGATTCATGCTTGGAATCAAATGAAGTACAGGTAATCCTTCTATATATAACACGATTGATACTATCCTACAAAGTCCCGTGTTGAGTATTTTTTTAACGTTTCTTTCTGGTTCCCTCAATGCTGAGGATCGTGACTGTATGTCAACCTTCTCCACTCGGTCCCGTTCTGCGCCATATGTACCGCTCCTTGTATCTTATTCCCATATATTGTGTGATCATTGCGCATTATGTAATTAATTTTCTAAATAATTTTAAACAAAAATATCATTATCGTGTTGTAGAAGTACCGTGTTATAAGTGGTTTTTTGGGTAATTTTCCCTTTCGTATTAAAGTGGAAACGCCTTGTAAAATACCGTGTTATACTTCTGAAAACAAATCCCTATGGTTTTTTTCATGAAAACTTTATAGATACTTAATAATAATAACACAGAATCAAAGCACATTTATTTTAGGCAACGATAAGTGAATAGTGAAGTTAAGTTTTCCTTATGATTAATTTTTATACAGAATTTTGCTAAGCTATTCTCATTGAAAACACTTTTAGCAGGCTGCTAAGGGCACAGTTTAAACATAGGTACCTCGTATTACGTGTTTCCAGACAAGACCTCACTCAATGCGTATAATAATATAAATGCAATGGAGAGTTTTCGTGAGAATTATTCTGACATCGTGCGCTACAGGATATGACTTCCATTTATGAATGAATGCTTTATCTTAAACTGCGACATCTGTTATTGGCGATGATACATCGTGCGACGAATAAAATAAGCTTTATACAGCGTGTAGTTGAAATCTCAATAGAGGGTGTTGTACCGTAGACATAGATGACTCGTGAACTGGTTTTTATACAACATTGCAACGAAAGGTAATGTTTGTTTGTAATAAATTTGTCGCTATCTTTATTGTAATCGTCTCAATAACCACCTGCACTAACTACCACAAACCGTCATGTTCGGTAGCAATTCTAGATTCTAAAACAGTTTTTATTTAGAAACGACAAATATCATTAATGCTCCGCTTTTACTATCATTAAATGTGGTAAAAACATCAATTTAAACGACTTACGTAATACTTAAAAGCATTGATCGGAGCCTTCCCTGGAGGATCATTAACAACGATTCAAAGTTTTAAGTCAATCGGATAATCATGAAGAAACACACGAACACGCAAACATTAACTATAAACATCAGAGGAAAGTGAGCCTAATGTCATATCATCAGCATTCACGTAATAACGCGTTAAATATTCATAAAAACCCGCTTTAGTCTAGCTGCTAGAGCATATAGGCGATTTAAAATACTTAAATGTACAAATGCTCGAGTATTTAAGTCTAGAACTTCTCCGGTCGTTCTAAATATGTATAAGATTAACTTTACAATGAGTTTGACTAATAACTTATCGTTTGCCTCTAAACATATTTATTTTTTGTGAGTAAGCTATTTGTTAGTTTAATCATTTGATATGAAACTAATATTCACTCTTGCGAGGCAGGAATAGTAATGTTGTGAATGTTTGATTACCTGATAGTTGCGCGAATGTACTCAATTAGTATTAAGCCAACACCAGCTGCGTAGTTTGGTCGATGTAAAATAAAAACTAAAAACTAAAAATATATTATCATAGTGAGAGTACCATAATATATCAAAATCTCCGTCATTAATATTTCAGCTAATTGGATTAAAGAGAAAACAAAATTTAATTAAAAAAGAACTAATTATAAACTATATTATATTTAAAAGCATCTGAAATGGGAAAGAAGTACATTTTAGTACCAGTCCTACGAAGACAGGTAGGTAGGTGTGCGGGCCACCTAACTGTGAGTGTTCACTGCGGATTATGGGCATCAGCAACCTAGCTAGAGGGCAACCAAACCGATGCCTACTTCGATCACTATTTTTTTCTATTCAATACATTTATAATTATACTTTCTCTTTCTTATATTTTTATCTAGTCATTGTCATACTCGAGAAGATTGATGTCTGAAAATAAAAACATTTTGATACTAGATTCCTTGCTCTCCAGATAGCTTTTAAAAATTCAAGTATCAAGATAATTCAAAATGTTGTGGGAGAACCTTCACTATAAAAATACGGTGTTCATACGAGGCATAAATCATTTTGAACAACGATGTCTTCTCAGATCACACCTGTGCTGCGGCATCTAGTAATTTAAATACAAGACAAAAGAAAAAAAGCAACAGTAGGATGGAAAGCTTCGTACCTCTTCAAGTAACTATGAAGCAAAAACGAAAAAAAAAAATCTTGCCGCGTCGCAGTCAACGACAGAACCATCTGTCTTAAAAGTCACAACATGTAAATTAAATTAAATTTAATTTTCTCATCGGTCATTTTATAAGGAGGTTTAACTACGTCAATTGATTTTTCTCATCTTACAGAAAATTATTTCTCATACTGCAGAATCGAGACCGAGCTAGTCTCACCAGAGACCTAATTGAATTCCACTCTCATAGTTAGGTATTTGGAAAGAAAATCGAGTTTGTTAAATTGAATATGATTATAAATGGCTGATGCAATAGGTCAGACAAACCTTACCGCACAGGTGAAAAGCTTATCATATAAGTTTAGTCTCCTGTCGCATTATTTGAAATATAGTCGAATTAGTAGTTCCCGCAGCGTATATATTATCCAATACAATTAGGTAAGACTTCGATCTTTACGTCCCAATGGTAGCGGTTTTCACGCTGTGATATCTATTATAATACTTGTAATATATAAATCAACAGAAATATGAAATTAAGTATCAAGACGATACCAACTATGTAACTGTTTTTTTCCGGGTTAATAGTATGTGCATAGATTCTTCTCTTTGTTCGGTAAAAAAATATTTTTAGATGTAAGAATAGCGCTATAGGATTAGCACGGACCTTGCCGATTAGCCAGAAGGAAGGTTTCAGTTTACGATTGACACATTTACTTAGAACTTAGAAATTTAACGAATTTGTTTGACGTATTTACTTCATATGAATTCAAAAATTAAATAAACCAATGTGTATAAAAATTAAATAAATATTTAATTCGTATAAAAACAAAGAAATCATATTGGTACGGCAGTAAAATATTTTACGTCGAAGGATTCTCAGCAAGAAGGTGAACCTAATCTATAAGATCAGTAAAATGCCATTCGCCCCGGCGTTCGTTGTCCAGGAAATTGTGCAATACGTTTTCTATTAGGTACTTCACATAGCGGCTTCCTAGCAAGTGACTCCCGGAAGTCTGATACACTCGGCCTCTGCATCAATGGTTGTTTAAATCTGTATTATTATTTTCTGCGGTATAATCTGTTTTATTCGGGATCTAAATTTGTTTGTTCGTATTTTTCGAATTTAACAAATAGGTAGTAATGAACAAATTTAAAACATGCCGAACTGTATTTTCTCAGTGGTAAAAAAAATATTACACAGAGATTCTTTGGTATTTTATTTTGACAGCTAAAAAGCCGGCCGCCTAGCAAGTCGTGGATTCACAACAAACCTACACATGCTTATGGTGAGTATTAGGTAGGAAAATAAGATAGAAATACTGCCACAAACAGATAAAGGGAAAGGAGCGGAGGTTGGAAACACAAATCCGTAGGTATCTTCTTATTAAATTAACTCTCATTAATGCTGAAGACACCATTAATGTATCAATTGATTTTACTGCGATAATGCATTGATGTCAGTTACATAATTCAGTAATCAAAGTAGGAACGTATACAGTGTTGTTCAACTTTTTATTGTAAAATACGCATTAAACAAAATCCGGTACCGAAATTCTTTGATGTATTAGCCCTTCTATAGGGAACAGGCAGACACTGTTTGTCGCTAATCTTAGACAGGACGGGACAAAAAACTCAGTCGGGTTGTGGCCCTTCTTTCACGGTCCCAGACTGCCAGCGCTTCCGACCCAGCATAATATTGGAATGGAATCTGTCCGTTCTGTCGCGTCGCGCGTCAGTCCATCGCGCGTTTGTACACAGGGCGCTTGTGCCTTACGCTTTCACGACTGCGAGTGCAAAATTTCTTGCCTGTTTGCAAGTTTCAAAATATAAGTGTAAAATTCTGTCTACCGATTATTATTCAATTTATATTTGAATGTGATTGTTTACAAGCCGTAAAACGATTGGCAACGTGAGCGATTAATCCTCAAATGCGGGTTGGGAATATTTGTGGGTGGAAAAATAAACATAGCACTCAGGTGAGTTTCATAAATGCTTTAAACGGTCTTGCAACATTGGTTTCCATGTCTCTAGATTTAATACAATCGGGATGATTTGGCTACATTGTATTTACGTGATGAATCAACGGGTTATGTTAATGGAAATGCCGAGGTGCTATTCATACCGCTTTTACGACTCCGATGTTCACAAATTAAGAACACAGTGAAAGCAAAATCAATCAATTATGATATACTATCCTTCAAAAGTTAGATGCAATTATGAAGGAGCCCACTACGTCCGTATAATATTCATCAGATCACTATTCCTTTAGCTACTTCCCGATATTCAGAAAATGTTTATATTATTCGAGACTTTTCGGAAAGAAATACACGAACTGGTTTTAAATTATAATATCGTCATAATTAGCATCTGGATTATCGCCAATTTATAAAGACTTCCTCCAAAATTAACTTTTAAGAATATTACACGCAAAAAAGCTGAATGCATAATATTGCCATTAAATAAGATATACCAGTGATCTGGATAGCCTTCTAGATTGATTACACAATGCTATAATCTTCGACATCATCTACCAGACCACAATAACGTTCACCGTGCTCTGAAGTTTACGAAATATCATCATGAAGTCGTTTAATACGATTCAGAGCAATGTACACAAACTTTTCAATATAATAATATGGTATCATCTATCAGTATCAATATGTTGTTATATTGATAGGTATACAATTGTATATTTTATTATGTCCATTAATTTATTCATGGCCAGGAATATGCACTGAGTAGACGAGTTAAGTGGTAAGATTCAGCGTAATATTCATTCAAAATATTACGTAGCCTTGTCGGTCGCTGGAGCCGACCAATGCTAACAAGACGCTAATGAAAAAGATACTTGTTTTGGGTGTTAAAAAACGAAGGTTCTTATAGACGGTGACAAAAAAGATTTATACAAAAGCAGAAGTTGATATAGCAGAAATATATGTTGAAGGTTCGTTTGCAGTTAGAATTAGGAAGGTTAGCAATCCTGTCACATTTAACTCGGTACATTCGGTTTGATAAATATTCAGCGATCAATGTTGGTACCATTGCAAAGGTTTTTGTTAAATGATTTGAGTTTCCACCCCTCCGCTATTGTGCTACTTATTCCCTAATGAATATGTGTCTAACAGGCAACTGTCCATAGCATAGTTCCATACCTATCGTCACGGTTGAATCACTCCCCTCTGTCGCTGACTAAATCAATAGACCGTCACACCGTCGGCACACAATGCTCCAGACGGACTAAATACGAGAATACAAGTGCATTCGAAATATGAATTTGAATGCAAGAGAAAGTTTTGTTTGACATTGAACGGTTGGCTACTGGCCGAAAACAAAAAAACAATGTCAGAATTGTCTATGCTTTGGTGCTGTTATGAGAAATAAATAAATTATGCACAGCTGTTCTCAACTTCTCATTATTATAACAGTAATACCGAATAATTCATTTAGTTTTATTATTTTAATAGTATTCAACGGTAGTTTGACGAAATATCCGTTGCAAAAAAATATCGTACTGATATGGCCCCCATTAATGGACACCCGAGCGAAATAATTCGCACAATTATTATTGTCTTATAGACTCTATACTTTCGTGATTCTAAACAGTCGTATTGGACAAAGAACTGAATAATAATACTATTTTCTCAAGCTCGGTCAAGTGACACGGCCAAGTAATCTAGACCTTTCAAATTGTAAAGAATAGCTTATTTAGAGACGCAATTCAAATTAGTTTAGTGTTTCATTTTAAAGTGGCGACATCCTTTCATTGAAGTAAAAGGACTGACAGGAGGGAGTTAGGGCGAGCGGGTTTTGTTCCTTAACGAACGAATTACAAGTTTGAAAGGAATATTTTTCTTTGTGTATTGAAAAAGAAAACTGTTAGACATTCTAAGTGTCAGTTGCAACGGCTGTCACACCCTTCAAACAGGAATGCAAAACTGCGTCATGACAGAAATAGGCAGGATGGTACCTACCTACGATAACCCGACGATTGCCAGTAGTACAATTAGTACCCGATAGTGGGTAAGATTACGCGCTTACAAAAAGCCTACCTACATACAAGTAACCATTCAAAATACATAATGTTTTATTACAAGCTTTGTCGTTTTACTCGTTATTTTATTACTAAGAATGTTCCGTATCTTAAAAACTCAAACAAATTATCTTATCAGACTGATTCTAGTTAAAACTTCGTTTAAAGATGCAACCTTCAAAATTTTCATATATTCCACTTAATATTTGAAATTTTAAAGAATGCTTCTTCTTATTCAAGAACTCAGACCTTTACGAGATTTTTATGAACTAGTATGAAGTCGTACAGATTAAAATAAAAATTATCTTTTTTGCCATTTTGTATACAGAGATCCCTAAAAGCATAATATGACAATCAAATAGTATATGACTGTTTTAAATTCATGTGGTATGTGCGAAAATTTATACATCAATTAAACTTCTTAATAAAATCATCTCGATAGTTGATTATATTTTCAAACAAAAAAAAGAATATTTTCTAAATCGGTCCTCAAACGACCGGACAGACTGAGATATCGACGAACATACAAAATAAAATAAACCGAATATAGAACCTCCTCCTTTTTCATATCGGTTAATATAGTAACTACTTACAAATGCTACTTTAATCTATATCGATAAAAATTTTGATAATTTTTTTACTTGTAAAATCAAGATAAGCAGCGTTTTCATAGTAGTCTAGTAAGGATTTCAATAATATTTTAAGTACGATCTTCCACCGCGTATGATTTAACTATCAAGTTGCATATTGCTGTCTAAGCTAGCGTTATCATTTTATCGGGTCGAGAATGTTAATTTATAATGACTTCGAGTGTCTCGCTGACCATGTGATAAGTAAACGCGCTCAATGCCCCGCCGGTAACAGGTCCGATTCTAGGTCTCGAGAGATTTTAATACATCTCATGTGGTGGTAGGTCGTCTTGTCACCTCGCAGGGGGAGAGGTACCAACCCGCCCCCTTCTGCGGTGGAGCAGTAATGTGCTCCAGTTGGAAGGGCCTGGCATCCATTGTGTTATCAAACTTAGAACGCATGTCTCAAAGTGGGTGCCGTCATTTACATTGCCGATCTATATGGGCTCCGATAGCCAATGAACATCAGGTAGGCCATGAGCTGGTTCACGCATGAAAACAGAGACGAAAACGCCCGTTGTGCTCGTATTCTTTTATTTATTTTTTTATTACTTAGATCGGTGGACGAGCTCACAGCCTACCTGATGTTAAGTGGTTACTGGAGCCCATAGACATCTACGACGTAAATGCGCCACCCACCTTGAGATATAAGTTCTTAGATCTCAAGTATAGTTACTACGGCTGCCCCACCCTTCAAATCGAAACGCATTCCTGCTTCACGGCAGAAATAGGCAGGGTGGTGGTACCTACCCGTGCGGACTTACAAGAGGTTCTACCACCAGTTAATTATCAAGTATGAAGAAAGGCGTCTTTGCCTGTGTTCGAATACTGCAGCACGTTTTTCCTTTTTCATAAACTGCTTCCACGACTAAGGCACAACATTTTATTATAGAAAACAAAGCCCAAAAATTGATAAATTTGCGTATTTATTAGTGGTTACAGTACTGTACGCCCACGTGGCTAGAAATGTCCCGCCATCCTGCTTGTTTCTATTAAAAAGCATTCTTACGCTCCTTGTCAATGAGCAGAATAGTCGCTATGAAATTTATACCTTATATTATTTCAAGCTAGGTGGTTTTTTTCCCACCTAAGCTGGTATCCTAACAGGGCAATGTCAGCGTAAGCGAGCGAAGCTAGGTGGTGGTATTAACCCTTTGCTTTCGAAAAGTCATGATTACCAGTTATTTTGGTGTGCGAGAATCGCCTTTAAGTGCGTAAGCATTAATTTTGTGATGTGGATTGACTCCCGTAATCATTGAGCTAAAATATAAACCCAATTCTTGATTAGCCAAATAATGAATTGATCGTTAATATTATATTTAATTCGCTATAAAATCAATGTATCGTGTTAGATCTATGATATTTTACGACTCAGCATTTATTGTAAGGCGAATAAAACTCGGCCACAGAGATTTTCAAATGAACATACTGTAATTTGTAAGCAAAAAAAAAAATCTATCTTCTTACGTCAAGGCCACTCGTCATTGCGAAATTACGAGACTTTCTATGTTTTTACATGGTTGCCGTGGAGCCGGTTCGAAAGAAAAAAAAAAAAAGAAAATCTATACGGCGTCCAATGATATATGATGCTTATGGATAAAGTAATGCCTGCGGAACATATATGCATTCTAGTATGGCAACGTTAAGCTGTACTCTAGCCCCTGGTGTTTAGACAACTGAACAATTCGCTGTGCAGTCTGCATTCCACGACAGGAATTAGCCATAGCTAAGTTAAGAAAGTTTCCTTGTTTACTGTATTAAATCGAAACTTGGGTGCATTTTGTATCTCGTGTTTTAATATTTTTTATATAGCCCTGACTCTACATTCTACATGTTATATAAATGATGATATTATGGAGTACTATATTATTTATGTGTTAACTAATGTTATACGCAACTACGCCACTAATGCTAGAAACAAATCGATAACAAAGTCACCCTTGTAATTTATGTTACAAAACAACACAATACTTGCAATAATGCAATTTACTTGTATTGTTTGTTTTTTGTATCATTTACATATAAATAAAATTGGAGTGTCTGTTTGTAATGTTGAAATAGCCTCTGTTATATATTATATACGTTACATACACCAAAATAACATTTTTTACAATTTTTGGATGTCTGTCTGTCTGTTTGTTCTGGCTAATCTCTGGAACGGCTGGACCGATTTTGACGGGACTTTCACTGATAGGTAGCTGATGATATAAGGAGTAACTTAGGCTACTTTTTTTAGACTAGCTTTGCCCCGCGGCGTCACCCGCAGTTATTGTCGTAAAGCGCGCAACATGGCGGGACTCGCCTATCAATAATAAAA